TTATTTATTTATAAATTACTATGCGAAGTTTAAGTTAAGAGAGTTAAGATAAAAATTTTATATTTTATTATTAATATCGGGTAGCTCTTTCAGCCATGAAAAAAATATATTTGCTTCTAAATTTATCGCGGACATTATTTTTAAATATCTTTTGTCGACAACCGGTTTAGTAAACAGGCTGTTTGTGCTCGGGCGAATAAAAGCATTCCATTCAGGACGCTTTGCGCGAAACAAAAAAAAATGGGACGAAAATAAAAACAAAAGCGGCATGGAGCGCAATTAGCATGATTTAACGCCCATTTCATTATACTATAATTGATGTGATATTTTCCAACTTGTCGCTCTTTTTGTATTGTTTTTTTTTTTATTATTATTTACAACTTTTTACTTACTTGGCCTTTATGTACGCACTTATACTGAACTATAACATTCTTATTACTTAAAGTCTTTATCTCAATAATATTTAATGTAGACCAGCGTTTCTCAAAGTGGAATACGCGAACCACTTGGAGTGCACCAAATAATCGTAGATGTTTCGCAACAAATTTCACGTAGCCGTTACGTAAAATTTGTATTTATACAAGAACGGATTTTCACACCTGGTGAAATACAGGTATCGTTTAATCGATGAATTTGAATTAAGATTCAAATTGAGTAAAATTTCTTTCCTAATCGATACCATTTACATAAAAAAACAAGCAAACCCGTCATACTAAATTGACTAAATAATAGAGATAATATTTAACTACTGCTCTTTTGTATCTCTTTTTAATAAATACCTTATTTGTTCTATCGATAGTCATTTCTTTGAAGGATTCGCGCTGGTTTAAAAAGCCTAACAAGGCTATGTGAAGCCATAAGTTTGAGAAATTTCTTCTAGACCAAATGAAATAATAGGAGTGTCTAAAATTTGCTTATCAAAACAATTTTTTTCAGTCTGTATGTAGTAGGTAGGTGCCAAAAACAACCACTTTTATTTATTAAGTAGATGGACATCTATTTGGTTGTTACACAATTTCCATTAGTGTATGAATATTAACATTCCATGGTTTTTTTCTTCAAAGTTTATTTGTAGCAGATGTTGATCACCGTGTGGTCTCGACAGAATTGGCTACCTCTTCCTTTCCCGTAGGTATCGTAAGAGACGACTAAGAAGATCTTATGGTTAGGGATGGACAGCAGCGTTTCTCGTAAAATATTTTTACCTAAGCCTAAGTGCGGTTGCCAACTCGCCTAACAAGCGTGGCAACTATTGACAACCCTCCCCCGTTTTGGGCGAGGCTTGATGATCCAGCAATGATACAATGATAATAAAATGTTGAAAGGCCATTTTTTATCAAGCCGTCTAAATTAGTGAATACCATCACAATACAACTAAGATTAAGAAAAGAAATATATAACGCCACTTCTGGCAGTGTCTATTGCAAAAACCGACTATCTCGATAGTTTTTCGCAGCCCTAAAAGCACATTAAACTTACAAATTATCATTAAAATGACAATAATACATCATTGTATAATTCACGTGGCGCACTCGTCGCCCCACTCCAATCTCTATAGTAATTAACATTCGTGCCATTAGACTAATTAAAGTATTCAGTTTTAGCGAACACATTTCATATTGTGATTAACGCGAACGCGACTCTCGGATTATTGTTTATCTTCGTGAAGTAACTGCAATCTTTCATTATTTATACAGATGTGTTTTCAAACTTTTCCATTTAGACTAGTATATAAATTTACAAACATTAAGATTTATCATATTTTTATCGTGTAATTAAACATTATCCTTATTTAATATTTTCAAGTGAGTTTCAATCGATGCAAATAGTCAAGGATCATTTTTCGTTATTTATAAATGAATATTTAATAAACTGACAAGTTTTTTAAAATATATTAGCTTAGTTTATTAAGGTCAATCTATTTTTTATTTTTAATTAATGGAAAATAGTAAATTTTCGTTTATAAGAAAATACAGTTAGTACAAAACGTTGATAAGCCATGACTCTCTTAAAAAAATAAAAAAAAAAACAATATTTTAATCCTAAATTAGTACAAGATTATTTGAAACTACCACTTTTACAATTTTGGTAACTCTTTAAATAGACTAAAATGTTTAATCAAAGAAAAGTGCACTAACAGGTTATAATATGTATAGTTATAACAGTTATAAAGTTATAATCGCTGTCAAAAACGATGTATGTACACATACAGCAAAATCTCTTTAGTTTTAATCTGTCCAATGTGTTTTAGAAAATTAATGACTTCGAAAAAATATTTCAGAAGCAAAACCAATCAATGAATCAATCAATAATTTTATAGCAGAATTGCATGTCAAATCACAATTAATTTACATAGTGTGCCAACACTGAAAATAAAATGTATACAGGAGCACTAACTGATACGTAGGTTAACAAGGGGTTGGAATCCTGTCTGGGGCATAATTACCAACCAACCATTAAAGATAAAACCGACGTTGGTAAATTGAAATGTGCTGATAGCTATCATGTCTCGAGACGTGTCTACCTTTATGAAATATTCAATGTTGAAGACTTATTGATTACTAGCCCTGCACCTGATGAAATGTGATGTTAAAAAAAAAACGAAATAAAAAAGTCACAAGTTATTTCTTTTTAATTTTTATTTTATTATATTATATTACAAGAATATTCTTACTTTTTAAGAAAAAAAAGGCTTTAAAAGAAGAATGAATGAATATTATGCAATTATGTCATCTATTTTGAATATTATTATCACGATACTGTTTGCAATCTATAACGTTTATACCCGTGTTGATTTCATATCGTTTCGATATTTTAAATTTAAATATTTGTTTTAATGTAATGTGACGAAGCAACATCTTTTCGTTCATCGATGTATATATTCATTACTGAAATTATAAAGCAAAATGTGCTTGTAAACATTCTTTGTTAATATTCCGACCTAAAGAGTAATATACTGCATTTAAAGGTTATTGGTATCTCTCAAGACAGAAAACATTAATATTTGAAACGTTCTTAATAATATACGACTGTTCAACAGTTAATAAACATGACGATTACACTTTGGAAGTTACGGGGTTAATATAATAAGATAGATGTATTAAGGGGTAGTTTTAAAGAGTGGTGGCAACAAATAAAGCTGTTAGCTGAGAATCGGTAGTCGGGTCACGGGCGCACACGGGATCAAGTGCACTACATAGGTACAATACACACGAGGTGAAATTGAATATTTTGGATTTATTTATTATGTTATCATAAAATGTGTATGTTTTATTTCCATGTAGTTTTTTACTAGAATAACACTGTTTTATTATTCTCTTGTAATTTATTGGTTATATAAATAAATAAAGGTTGTCTGTAAGAGATTGCCCTAGCGATAAGACCGCCTTTTGTACCTTTATGTGTATATTTCAATCTGTATTTATGTTACAGTATTTCACATGAATTATTCACGTGTCATTGTATATTTTTATTTATGGTGCAATAAAGAGTTAAATAAATAAATAAATATTAAGAGTGATGTTGATAATGATGACAAAAGTTTATAGTGTGATTCAAGTGATGCTTTTACCAACGAATGGCATATTTGTTGGTAAGAGCATCACTTGAAACATTTGGACTAATGAATATTTTTAGGGAAAGAAAACAATTATCATTTTCGACAATGTAACATTATTATAACAGTAAATTAAACAGTTTCCAATAAAATATAATGTACTTATTTAATACCAGTAATTAGAAGTCTCAAAAACTTCATGTCTTAATTAAAATTGTGATCCACAAAAATAACCGATTTTTATTGGGCACAATACGACATGAAGTTTTTGATACTTCTAATTACTGGTATTTTTTTTGGCAAAGCAAATAATTTTCACTTAAACTACTGTTATAGTACCAATCTATTGATAAACTTTAATTACCTTTAATAACTATTAATAACCTTTCAGATAAATAAGGAATTTTCCAAACCGGTTTACAACTGTTATGAATTATGGGATAACAAATATAAAAAAAAGAATACAACCGAATTGAGAACCTCCTTCTTTTTGAAGTCTATTGAAAATAACACTAATATCTAAAATACTTAATACAAACTCGAAGTAAAGTCGTTAACGTTATCTTACTCCGATAATCACGTCGTGTGGTAGCACTCGAGTCCACCTCAGAAAAACCGAAGCGAAGTAATAAGAAAAGGTAGAAGTGCCCCATTGAATGATAACTCCGGCCCTTTGTCTCCTGCGTCCGTCCTGACGAATCGAATTAAAAGGCTTATTGTGTCTACGTGACAGCTCCTCAACTCCTCAACCCCTCGGGTTTCGAGACGCGTTTTTGTTTCAAGCAAACTAAAATATTACAGGCCATTCACTAGATCCCACCCCAGCAGGGGCGAAATCTGCTACTTGAATTTGTACTCAATTTTTAACAGGGACCGTTAATTAAGAGTTACTCCTTATTGGCGAACGAATTTCTAATGCGTTAATTGTCGAAATGCAATCTTCTTGGAGGGATTTTTAATCATTCACTTGCGTCATATTTTAATTTTGGTATTCAAAATATTTTTTGGCAGTTGAGTAATGAATTTTAATATTGCAGTTATACGTACTGTTGAATACATTATTAATTTTTTTATGCAGCTTGGAATAACAAAAAAACTAGATATGAACGTTCAATAATATATAAAATGAAAATATTAAAATATTATTAATTCCAAGTAAAACCGTCATCATTCTTGTTTTGCTTCATTCTATTTATTTAGGTTCCGCTGAATGTCATTGTAATAATTAAATTACAATAAAAAATAAAACGTCGCTTGCGTCTTCTCATAAATATATATTGACTTATTATACATTGCTTGTATTTGTATGTATTTTTATAGCCTTTTAAAATTACAATATTTAAACCCTCTTTTGCAACAATGCTCATTGCATTCTCTATCATTTTATGATGATGTTTTAAAACAATATTATCTCTAATATTAAATAAAATTCATTTTCTTACAGGCCTCACTGCGACATCGAATGCCTTCACCATCGGAACAAGGTTAGTAAAAAAAGCAATATCATACCCATAGATATCGCAAAGCTATAAAAAATCAGTCTTAAAGAAAAAAAATCTCCCTCAAACTTAATTATTCATCACATCCCACGGCTTCGCTCGTAGACGCCAAAAGGCGACCAGTAAAAATATGTAGTAAAACGTACACGCACATTAATGAGGGCTATACAATATTTATACTGGAAGAACCCTAATTGCTGGGGTGGAGAGTGGAAAAAATGGGCAATTTCACGTAATGTAATATGTATATTTAAGGTAAAATTTCCTAAACCAAGCGGCGGAACTCTGTCGCGGCTATACTTATTACACGAAACCACTTCAAACGTCTTTCTGTGCTTTTTGTGATAAGCGAAGTGGCTCTACTTAAAGTTTTGTGGTGAGAAAATGTCATTTGTAACTCAAATCTGTTCGGTTTTACTAGTATATGTATTATTTTATAATATGAAATGTTTATGTATGTATATAAATGAGTTAATTAATCTCGAAATAATATTAAAGTCATGATACTTTTAAATGAAATATATATAATAATCTTTTTTTTATTTTCATATGAATTCTTTTATCAATAGTTGAGTTATTTAATACTAGCTTCAACTCGCGAGTTCGTCTGGGAAATTTTTACTGACCGGGATAAAAATAGCCTATATATTTCTCCATCTCATATAGTACATGTATACAAAATTTTATAGTGATTAGTTAAGCCATTAAGGCGCTATAAAGTAACAAATAAACTCGCTTTCATATTTATAATATTAGTAAATATGATACCGTTTTTAATTATGGGTACGAAAAATTAAAAAAATGATACCGTTTTTACTTATAGGTCTAAAAAACCATTATAAAGCCTAAGTAGAGAAACTTACTATACGCGTACACAGTAAGTAGTAAGGATTTTTATTTTTTCAATATGTTTAGGTGCTCAGCTCGCTCCCCTCGCCACAATTTCCTCTTGACGGAAACCCTCAATCTAATGATACGGCTGTGTTAAAAAACACAAGGAAATTTAATAACGCCAAGAGTCTACCGCGTGCCCGACAAAAACAAAGAAAATTTAATTTCGACGATTCCCACATACTCAATATCGCTAAGAAGTTATGCTCTTATTACGATGAAAATTAAAAACAAATACAATAATTTATTTATTATTATTTTTCCGTTAAATATTATGCATTTATAAAAAATATTTTTTTATATTTTCATTATATTATATTACTTTAATTTAGTTTTTTTTTATACACTTTTAAGTTTATACCCCAAATAGATACCTTATAAATAACCATATTAGCACAATTTACAATTTATTCAGAATTTCTAGGTAAAAAAATCAGATTTATGTAGATTGTTTTTACTGGATATATGTACTCCTTTCAAGTTCCATTGCACAGTGAAACTCCGAGCTCACTCGCTCTCTCTTATATAACTAAGAGTAAAACCATGTCTTCTAGATATGGTTTTATTCTTTTAGCCTTTACATTTATTTATTTATTAGTACATATATGTGTACATGGCGGACTTAATGCTAAAAGCATTTTCTCCCAGTCAACCATAGGGAAGTGTCAGAATTCTCGAATGCGATACTGTTAATTATTGATATACATAGATAATAAAATTACATATATAAACAAACATATATATATAAATAACATGCATAACATATTATCTAGTGTTTACTTTTACGAGTAATATGCATAATTTAAGTTAATTTACATAAAATATCTGTGGACTCAAATAATTATAAGATCGTAGTTAATGACTAATTTTATATTAATATTCTAAAATATTTAGGCGATAAAGTTTACGGCGTTTTTTTATTAAAAATATAATTTACTTATTTATATTTTATACATTGCCTACTTTAAAAACTGGTATGGCGCCTCGATTCATTTATCTAGTTACACGCCAGTTCTCGGTCAAGATAACTTAGAAAACAATCTGCATCTCGTAGTCTCAAAGAAAAAATATCTTAGTTTGATAACTATGGTATAGTATGATTGACTGGTACTGATAAATAAATAAATAAATTATCTGTATTATTCTCAATTATCTTGACTACTAAAGCTCGATTCACTACAATCTATTGAAATCGTCTTCAAATATGCTGTGCTCGTTTATTTAAATGGCATTTTTCTTATGATTTCATTATCATCCAATTAGATTATTTTTCTATTCTCAAAAACCCTATGTCGTTGGAATCGTCCAAAGCATTGACATGAACTTCAAGAATTTAGAATTTTAGTTTTAGATAGTTAAAGTAACATTCATAATATATTATGTTTAGTAGATACTAATATAGGGCCAGGAAAAGCCAACGGCACACTTCGTGAAAATCTGCATATCACGTTACGGGGACGGTTACCCTCCAGCAATTATTCGGGACAATGCTTAACACATTTCAAAGGTAAGCAAATTAGTTCCGCACTTAATGATCCGACAAAGAGCGTAAATCTTTTTAAAATGCGCGCCCGAAGTGTTTCCTCTTCCGTAGGGTAAACAGTACGTAAAAAATATATTTGCATAACCCGCCCCGCATATGTAAATGCCGGCCCGTGAACAAAAAGGCGGCAAAATTGTATCAAATTATTGCAACGACATGTAGGCTTTGTGGCAATTTATCAATGAGTTACTCTGAATTCCATTACTAGGAATTGTGTGTTCGAATAATAAAGCAACATAACCTAATTTTTACAACAAATATTCTAATGTATATTAAAGCGGGTTTCAAAATAAAGACGTTTATATATCGCGATAACTTTGCTGTACAATGTTCTGTATTACCAGACTTGCATTTCTAATCACCAATTTAGGATTTGAATGAACAAAACATCACGATTTTATACCACATTTTCATTTTTTAAATACAGTACAATGAACCTTATAAATAAAATTAAACAAAGTCGCCCTAAAAGGCAACAGTCATTGACAACCCCATCGTAGCCAATGACGTGTGGCCGATACAAAATGAAAATAAACACCGCCATCGGACACACATTCCCACGGTTTTCAATAAAAACAAACTGCGCAAATCGACCATGGAAGGTCCTCGAATTAAGCCGGGCAGCCATCAGTGCGCCCGCCGACCCGCACTCCCGCCTGAAAAATGTTATACACCACCTGTGGAGCCGGTGTAATCGTATGCGTTTATCTCTACGGGCAATATGCACTGGGCCCATGTCCTGTCGGTGCTCAGACACGAATATAGAAAATATTTGGTACCACTATTAATTGATTGGGTTTTGTGATGATCATATCTTTAAATAGTATAAAGATCAGGTAGTACATGTAATTGTAAGACTTTCAAAATACTTTATGCTTTTTTTTATAATTATTTAGGCAGTATTTAGGGAACAAGGTTATTCATATACTAAGGTATAAGTAGCTGCAAATAAAATTGTATTTATTGATATCACCGACAAACAAAAGTTGCAAAGGCTATAGTGTGCATCTCGTAATTTTCATGATTGAGTTTACAAATGGAAATTCATAGAAGATACCTAACATGATTTTAAATGTTCGAAACAAATGTAAATAGTGCTAGCTTAAAATTAACTAAATTGTAATAAAATTTTCACAGAATAAAGCATAAAAATTATGACTGAATTTTAAGCTACAGAATTATTACAGAATTGCTACAGAAGTCGAATTCTGAACGTCAATATAATTCTATTGCTAAACTCATATCCAGAAAACTCAATTCTCTACATCCGCGACATCACGTACTAGATTGAACATGCATCCATTCTATTCCACACCGATAGTCCGAATTTATGCGGTAGCCTGCGATCCACCAATTATCATTCACGCAATGACTGCTGTCCACTCGTTCCACGACCAACGGCCGCACCCAATCAATTAACACACCCATTGCATTCCATTCAATTGTACAAAATTTATTGATAGCACTTCTACATTTGTAACAAGTACATTTAGCTAAAAAGGTAGCATCTTCAATCATAATAAAAGATAATAATGTCCTTACTGCTACTGGCACATGCGCTTTTGGTTAATATGATGATAAGAAATATAAAACATGAGAAGGATCTTTTTATCTAGATCTTTATATATATATATATATATATATATATATATATATATATATATATATATATATATATATATATACATATCGCTCTCTAGTTGTATAGCAAAGCTTAGTGAAAATGAATAAAAAATTGTGATTGGGAGAAAGTGTAGAAAAAAATATTTAACATAATAGTAACCCTTAATTAAGTTTAGAACATAAAATGTTGTACAAGTAGATTTTGCCTTGCGACGAACAGTTTCGTACTCTGCGAAGAAAAATGGCAATTTTAATTGTCACAATTTAATTGCATTTCTATGGGGCCGACACATGGGACAAGTAAATCCTGTCGATTGCAAAAATAATTTTAAATTACATAAAAGTACAGGCAAATAAAAAATTTGGGTTTTACAATTGTTATTTATAAATACGTATACAGTAAAATGAACAGAGAGGTCATTTTTTCCCACGCTTATGACGTCCTAATAGTGTACAGTCCTTTATGAAGTCGAGCGGATACAATAACGATAAAGGTGAGCAGAAAATCCGGACAATAAAGCCCGGTAAAAAAGCTGAGGGAGGGCTAGTGCGGGGCAAATAGTTCGTGAAATTTCGAAGGGTCCCGAGCGTGGAGCGCGATGTACGGGACACTTTACGACGGTCCTTTCAGTAAACCTGGCCATTATGTTGGGTTAAAGGATCGTCCTACTCGAGTTATAAAGATGCCGAACGCTGGCTAAGATTTGTTGCCGGTTTATGGATGTAGAAGGGTTGTTGGATGCAGCGGAGGGTATTATGATCATGTCGAGTCGAGAGGTCGTACCGTTTCCAGAAGTCAACATTGCGAAAATGATGGAGGGCTCTTGAAGGGGCATGGTAATATTAGTATGGTTTTGAAAATTGCATTTCTTTATTTAAGCATAGACTATATTTTTGTAAACATGAAATGCGCATTGTTGACGATAAT